GTATAATTGATAATTTTGGTTTGTTTTACTGGGCTGTTTGGGTACTTTCTGCTTCTTTGTTATTTGTGTTGAGCTTTGCTTATTATGTTGTTTTTTGTTGACGACAAGAGTAATACCATTATTATATTAATAACGGCTGGAGACGGCTTGAATTGGTAATGAAGAAAAACTTTAATATAAGTTTAACATAACAGCAAATGACAAAACCTTGTCGAAACGTTTGCTGTTATGTTAAACTTATATTAAAGTTTTTCTTCATTACCCATTCAAGCCGTTATTAATATAATAATGGTATTACTCTTGTCGTCAACAAAAAACAACATAATAAGCAAAGCTCAACACAAATAACAAAGAAGCAGAAAGTACCCAAACAGCCCAGTAAAACAAACCAAAATTATCAATTATACTAACGAGTGTACCAGGTTCATACAAGCCACCCCCAGATTGCAGAAGAAATCCGACGCTGTAAACCTCAAACTCAATTGTAACAGTAAAACGTCTAGCTATAGGGGGCGTACTAATCCATGGCGCTGACCGAAAAGATTTCAACACCTTACTCCAAGAATGGCTCAATGACGCTTTTACCTCTGGGAAAAATACAAATAACACTACGGTAAAAATCCACAAACAGAGGCAATAAGCGAAGAATTAAAACAACAAAACATATAATTCACAAAAGCAGATAGGATCACGTCCGCATGGACACAGAAACCTATTAACCTCATAAAGGTCGCACTTCAAGAGCACATCACTGACCTCATTGATAATGGTGTCATCCTATTGTACCAAAAATTTACAGTGGGGGAGGCGAAAACACCAGCTATAACAGTCACACAATGCTTTAATTGTCAGAGGTACGGGTATGTGTCTGCTGCCTGTAAGACCCTACCAGGATGTGGTGGCGAACATAAATTCACCGTTTTTCATGTGAATAACCAAGGTAGTCTTGCTTCCAAGAGACAAGAAATAGAAGAATAATTTAGTTTAATATCGAGACATCTCTAAAGTAAATAGACACCATGATTTTTTTCAATAATCATTTATCTCACATTGTCAACTTGACAAAAATGTTTACAAATGTGCATCAGTACTTAATCGATTTGCCACTAGCATTTTTTCAGTGCTTTGACTCGTTCTGGCATGGAATCGACGAGTTCTGTAATTTTCTCCTGTAGGATCTTAACCCAGGCTGCACACAAAACATCAAGTAGCTCTCCACGGGATGCTGATTTCTGGTGACTGACTTGGCCATGGGAGCCGTTGGATGCCTTTCTTAATTAAATGACTGTTGAATAAACATCATGGTGTCTATTTACTTTTGAAGTGTTTCTGTGGATGCTGATATTATATGTATTACCGAGATCCTTATTACAAATACATCATCTTTAAAACTGAACGGCTACACTACAATTATGGAGGAGAGACAACATCACAGATACCCTAGCCGGAGCATAGTCATAATCTATAAATCAACTTTAGCCATTACAAATTTGAATTTCGAAAGCTCAAAGGAGTGCATAGTCGTACAAATTACCATATCAAATAATTATAAAATTACAGTAGCAGGAATATATTGCTCATCCAGTAGAACCCTGTATACACAACTTCTAGAAAAGATTGTAAACTATAACAGAAACTACATTGTGATAGGGGATCTAAACTAAAAACACACACAATCTGGATGCAGAAGAACAACACCAAACAATTCAAGATTATTAAGATTTTTGAGCAGTGCCAGCTCAGTACATATCAACGACCAAACACCAACTCTTTGCTGCTCAGCTAGTGATTCAGGAGAAATTATAGATTTATGTATAACTTCATCAGGCCTAAGTGTAAAATGTTCAGATATCGATAGTGATCATTTTCCAATATGGTGTAACTTCGATCTCACCCCATTAAAACAAACCAACATTTCAACTAAAATTAAACTACAAAAAAGGAAATTGGCAAAAATATCAAACATATTTGAACGAACTGTTACCACAAATAACTATATACAACAAGTGCCTTGCACGCGCGAAACATAGATGATTATGCCAAATAATAACTGAGTGTATAATCAAAGCTGCACAAACAGCTATATCTAAACAACAAAACTTAACACAATACAAACATGGAAACCATATAAAAATATAATTGACATAATCAAAGAGAGACGTAGACTATATATAAACACTAGGGATATAATGCTAAAACCAAAAATAAATACACTTGGCAATAACATAAAAAATGAAGTCAAACTACTAAAACAAGACAACTGGGACTCTTACTGTAATAACCTAAATAAGCAACAAAATCCACAAAACTTCTGGAAACATCTAAAAAGAGCAACCAACCCAATAAAACATACCCAACACTAATACATGACAACAAAACAGCATACACAAACTCACAGAAAGTAGAACTTTTTAAAGAACACTTACAAAATATTGTTACGACATCGGGGTCGCGTGACGCTAGTAACACGTCATTGACTTCTAGAAATATCCTGTTCCTTCATGAATGCTCTAGCGTTTATTAGATATGTGTTAGTCTTGTATATATAAGACGGTCACAACGTGACGGAACAATGCGTGTAATTGAACTGAGTATTGCTGAGTCGAGCACGTGAGACGTTCGTTGAGAATTATAGCGTTTGTTATAGCGCGACTGTTGAAATTAAGTGTATCGCAAAGTTATATTCTGAAAGAATAAACCAGTTTTATTTAAGAAAGGACTTGTGTCACTAAAGTTTTGTCGAAACGAATTTAGGGAAAATTAACTAACGACTGGAGGCATAACAATACTATATTATTTTAAAAAGATAGAAGCACATGATATATTCATATACCACAGAGGTGTTATCTTATAGGAACAAGTTAAGATAATTAATATTCTTTTGGAAAAAAGAAAGTGTTAATACTATTCAAGTTTACAAGATTATCTAAGAGAATGATAAGAAAATACAATGCTCCTGATTTATGTGTATATATCCTGAAGATAATAGAACGAAAAGCACTGCTACGTTTTTTGACAGAGTTGTTGACTTATGGAATGATTTGTCGTTGTCAGTAGTAGAGGCCATCACAGGAGTTTAATAGGGGAATCGATGATTTACTGAAAAGAGGTAAAAAAGCAAAAACAGACTTAAGTACCAAATTGTCCCTTGTTATTTGTAGGTTATATTATGCTATATATATATATACAAAATAAGAAATCCAATAACCCTGAGCGCTTTCGGATAGTATACCCAATTTTTCAAAAGATCATGATTTGAACGTTCAAAGCCAGTGAAACATGAGAAAAAACAAACTTACAAAACTTATAGCAATAATATTCGGTTTAAAAATTACATTACACTTTGTTTTGTTTAGATATTCCTCACCATAATGAACAATGAAGAGGAATTTGAAAAACAACTACACACACACATTTGCAGTTAATTATTTATTTAGAATATTAGGCTAATTGGTAGTAAGTTTCTTGTTTTGTGATTTATTTAATTTTTGATACCACATCATCTGTTAATAACAATTACATGAACATTTATTAATACTGTATAAATATGTATGTATTATTTTATTTTTTTACATATAAATTGTCAGAGTACCACTAATTAAGTGGGATTGAATTTATATTGTTACGTCTCCGTTTGTTAATTAACTTTCCGTAACTTCGTTCCTACGAAACTTTAGCGACACAAA